AGAAAAAAGAAAAATCCGAGTCGATAAATTCACCAGACGGTGACAGCGTTATTAAAAAACCATGAGGGCAGACACAGGGTAAGGACTGAAAAAGAAACTCAGATGCTATTTAAACATTTGATGATAAAAACAGGTAAATTCACAGCCCATAATTATTTCTTTTTTTTTTTCTTCATCAGTTTAATGGTAAATAATTTTAACAACTACAGTATTTATGCAATGGTTTTTTTCTGTATGGGAACAGTTTTTAGGCCCAGACCAATATTAAAAATGTAGAGAAAATGTGAGCTGTAATGTTTTACCTTCTACCACAGGAGAAACAAAAAACTTTTTTTTTATAGATTTTTAAATTAAAAAAAGTTAAAATTCAAATCTCTGTGTTTGGAAATGAGTTTTTCCTCAAAATGTCCATCGTCCAGATGGTAAACAGATCCATGTTGCATAGCACTTGTCTGTGTTTTATGCTAACAGTGTTTAATAGGTTGCATTGTACTTGTAATAATATTTTTAGTAAAGAGTTCACAGTCTAGTAGCCCGTCCTATAAAACTGCTTTGTAACAAACATTTTGTTTGAAAGTCGGCCATTTTTGGAACAAATGTTTTTTGTTTTTTTTTTTACTTCTAAGTTGCTGAAATGACTTTTTGATTTTAACTGTCAATACTGTGAAAAAGCATCAGTGGAGAATACCACACACACACACACACACACACACACACGTCCATGTGAAACACTTCTTATTCCAGACATGACACACACGATTGATTTTGTGTGCGTGTGTGTGTGTGTGTGAGAGAGAGAGAGAGAGAGAGAGGGAGAGAGAGAGGAAGGGAGAGAGAGGGAGAGCTGTAATTGAGTGTGTCTCCCTGGCCTGATTGCTTGGCCCTCCTACACGTCTGAAGTCATCAAAGGGAGTGAACGTAACCTTGGGGCAACTCACTAGTGTGAAAACACACACACACACACACGAAGATAGACCTGCATTCATACAAAAACAAAAATGTAAGAATGCATCCACGTCCAAACGAATGCTGAAATCAAACGCCTTCTTGTTTTCACAGCTGCAGACACACACACACACACACACACACACACACTTGCTGTCACATAAATGAAGACCATATGCAAATTCTCTGCTTACTGTTGGCTGTGACCACAGCAGCAGAATGTCAATGAAGTGAAACAGGAGGTGTCAACCTGTGTGGCCGCTGCACTCACATTTAATCTGGATTAACCTCAAAACCTATTCTAACGTCCAACACTTGTTTTTTTAAAAAAAAAGTTATTTTATTTATTGTTCCACTGTAAGGATTTCATCTAGATGTTTGATGAACTGTTTCAACCTAAGTTGTAAAAAAAAAAAAGTAGTTTTTTTAGCAATTGATATTAGCCAAAGGACAGCTAAATGTTAGCACAGGATATCTTAAATGTTAAATATTAGTCAAAAATACTGCAGTATCGATCAATTTTAGAGTGGGGATATAAAAAAAACCAAAAAAAACCTCCAAACTCTGTGGTCACATCAGTGAACTGACCTCAGAATAACTGATGTTTTTTTTTGATAATCTTCTCTATATGATCTGTATGTGACTGCATGTTTGTTTTTGTTTTTGTTTTTTTATGTCTCACTCCTCACCTGTCAGATACATTTCCTCTCCTTCCAGGAACATCATGTGACAGCGAACACATCTGGCACAGCTGGGATGGTAGTGTTTTCCTCCTGCCTAGAGAAAGACGTGAAAAAAGGAAAAATTGAAGGAAGAAAGGGTGGAATTAAAGAAATCTTTTTTTTTTGATAATCTTCTCTATATGATCTGTATGTGACTGCATGTTTGTTTTTGTTTTTGTTTTTTTATGTCTCACTCCTCACCTGTCAGATACATTTCCTCTCCTTCCAGGAACATCATGTGACAGCGAACACATCTGGCACAGCTGGGATGGTAGTGTTTTCCTCCTGCCTAGAGAAAGACGTGAAAAAAGGAAAAATTGAAGGAAGAAAGGGTGGAATTAAAGAAATCTTAAATAGTAAAAAAGTGGGGAAAGAAAATGAAAAAACAAAAGGACGTAAAGAATAAAAAAGGACGGGAGACAAACAGGATGTGATTCAGAGGCAACAAATGATGTAATTATACACAATGTAGGAGAAAAATAAAACAAAAAAGAAGAAAGGAAAGAGTCAAGAAAAAAGAGAAAAATATGGTAAACAGAAAGAAAAAATAAACGAAGAAAATGTATCACAAAAAAAAATGGAAAAATAGAAGGGACCATGATGAAATCAGAATAAAGAGAAGAGCGAAACAAAATGAAGTGATGAAGGATGGAAGGAAGAAAGGAGAGAGAAGGAAAAAACAGAAGAGGGAAGATGGAGCAGGAAAGAAAAGTGAAAGAAGGAACCAGAGTGACAGTGAAGTGGGAGGAGGTTTGGTGGAGAGGGCAGTGGAGACAAAAATGTGTCTTTGTGTCTGGAACAAAGCTGCAGCGTCACCAGTCAACACTGAGACGTTCACTGAGGCAGCTGTGTTTTCTACAGGCTTTTTATAGACACACACACACACACATTCCCATCTGTCCTACACAAACACACACTCATGCTGGTATAAAGTTCACGTCCAACAGTCCTCACCTCCAGAACTCGGCCACTGATGTATCTGCTGCAGCTCTCACACCTGATCCCAAACTGAGTGTGATAGTCGGCCTCGCAGTAAGGAATCCCATCTCTGCACACACACAGTATGACAGTAATATTATTATTACTGACTTGAGCCTTCAAGTCCAAGTCCAAGTCAATGTCAAGAACCAGAGTTTTGATGTCCAAGTCACAGAAGTCAAATTTGATTGAAGATTTCAGGTCTGAGTCAAAGAAGTCCTTTTTGGTTTTTGAAAAAAAAGTAAAAAACCTCTCGAGTCCAAGTCGAGTCACGAGTGCTCAACTTGTCAACTACAGCTTTTAGGGAATATCTCAAGTCAAAATGAATTTTTTGAACGGTTCATTGTCATAAATATTTCTCTCATTTATCTGTATGTTGTGAAAAACAAATAATAAAAGTGGCTAAAACATTAGATTAGATTTATTTTTTTAACTCCATCTTCCACTTTGTATTCACAGTCTTTTACTCTTATTTATCTAAAGACATTCCTCAGAATTTGGACTCGTGATTATTACTGCATGGTATTTCTCGGTCCAGCCCACACACACACACACACACAGTCCCACGTCCAGATGGAGGACACGGAGACACCACCTACTTGCTGATGTATTCCGCCGTGAGGGCGCAGCCGCACGTACGACACTTGAAGCAGCTGACGTGCCACTGTCTCTCCAGGGCCAGGAGAGACTGACCCTGCTTGATCTCCTCGCCACAGCCCGCACAGTCTGGAGGAGGAGGAGGAGGAGGAACAACATGAGGACGCGCCCTGACAGGTGACGCCGGCGTTAGCAACGTTAGCATCCTCGCGTCTGACACAGGATGTGGACTTCGTACAGCTGTACTTGTGGGGACACTTAGGTGTTTTGGGGACAGAGTTCTCTGGAGTGAGTTTAAGATTCGGTTAGAATGGGATTAGTGTCAGATTAAGGTTAGGATGAGGATTGAGATTAAGCATATATATTTGTACTGGTTCAGGGAATACATTGTGTCTCTTTGAAGGAGGAACAAAATACAAAAGTTTCTCTCTGTGTGTGTGTGTATGTGTGTGTTTTCTTACAGCTCGGCCCGTGGACCTTGACGGGCTTGTCGTTGCTCAGAGAGTATGAGCACTGCTGACACACACACTTCTTCCCACAGAAGGTCACCCTGTCGCCGATGGGGAACGGACTCCTGAAAATAAAACACACACAGAGAGAGAAAGGAATCACACACACACACAGAGAGAGAGAAAGGAACATTTCACTGATCTCATACACACACCTCTGTCCATCATTTCTTTTCTTTTCTTTTGTGTTTTCACCACTACATGTTCCCCTGTGATTCTAGGGCTTCAAAGGTCAAAGGTTCTGTTGACCTATATAACTGTATCACAGTTTAAACAACACGTTTATGCTCCGCCCCCGTCGTATAGTGAATCATCAAAATCCTGATTAAAAATAAAGCAAGATTGAAGAAGAAACAATAATGAAGATGTTGGAGACACCTGAGAGACATGTCTTCACAGGTTTTAGGGGCGAAAGAGCGTCTGACGTGACGCAAATATGGCGGGAAAAATTACACTTTTCCGGTGACATCCAATCAGCATCGAGTTCATCCAGACGTGACCTCCCTGAAGTAAACGGAGAAGTTTGTGAACAACGGCAGAACAAGCGTCTGTGTGTGTGTGTGGGCACCAACACCGCTGCGACTGGGATAAAGAGTCACGGTCTAAATTTAGCCAGTAGGTGGCGCTCTCTGGTAAAATGTGAGCCTTTGTGTGGCTCGTTTTACTCCTGTCAACTCTTTACCATCGTAACAGTGGCGTAAACTGGTGAAGCTCGTCAGTCATTGGACGGTTGTTGTCACTTCTGCCAAAAAGTCGTTTGTGAGAGCGCGGTTTTAACACAACAGCCTGACTCAGCACTTTTCAAGATGAATAAGTGTAATTTGCCCTGTGAGCAGAGTGTGCTCTCATTAGCCGAGTAGACGCTGCTGCTGTATATATACAGAGTACGCAGTACGTACAAATACTCAGGGGGACAGTATCCAAAAGTCAGCAGACTGAAAGTTAATGATCCGTCTTTACGGTGAAAAACACTGAGCTTTTAAATATTGACTCTGTTACCGACACGGTCTCAGCCAATCGACATCAAGATGAACTCAACTGAAGCCAGTGACGAAAAACAGATCATCGTAAAAGTCCAAAGATACAAACTTTTTACTGCAAAGGACTATGGGAAACGTAGTCTTCCCCAAAATATTACCTCAGTGGTTCTCAATTATTTTCTGTCATGCGCCCCCTTGGGGACTGAAATATTTTCACCCTCTACCCCCATTGTATGAGTTGCTGCCACCTAGTGAGTGGAGGCTCACGCCCCACCAGGGGGGCCCCGCCCCACTACTTGAGAAGCACTGCACAAACTCAAGCTCCAATACAATTTCAGAGAAATTTCACACACATTTGTGACATCGCTGCTCGTCTCTGACTCAGTCAGTTTTTTTCTTCACTTTGTTGTTGTTGTT